CATTTCCCAGGGAAAAGGTTAACCTCCTTTCCATTCCAAGTATTCTAACATATCATATCATTGTTGACCTTCATTATGGCTGTGTTGTAAAATGGTTTCAAACCAAGAACGGCAACAAACTCTCCTTTAATTTAGAACCTGTTTTAGGACAATACTGCAAATCCTGCAATCTTAATGGATGGGTATGTTCCAGTAGCCTGCGTCGCAGACGTAATTTAACCTTGGTTAGTAATGTCTGTGAAGTAGCGCCAAGATCCTTTTTCTGGGCCCCCAGTGGACTAAACAAATAACTGCCTTTCGAATTTCCTTCCATCCTGATTGGCAACAAGGATTTTGGCACTGTTTCGCAGACCGACTTAACCAGAGTTTAGTTTCATCTGTGGCGTGGACTAAGGTTCTGGCAGACTGTGGGCAGGATTTTTATCTTTCCTGCCAGGATGAATCTGAGCAGGAATGATTTAGTATTAGATTGTAAGCTGTTGTACAATGGCAGTGGCCTTAACCTCATAACTTCACAAGTCTTTTGTGTTTTTTTAGCACCCTTTCCAGAGTTAAAAGCTCAAAGGGATGATGGGAATGAATCAGGAGGAAAACTTAACACATCTTCAAATCAGGTATTTTAAAGATTAACAAACGGTTTGCCTGTCATTGCCAATAATATTGTTCACAGTGCATGTCTGTTGTATTCTGTTATCAGTCTCCTGATACTGCAGAAGATGAAAATGTGGAGCATGCATGCAGAATAATTCCTCCCACAAGGTAATTAATACAGTGTAGGTTATTAAAATTATAAGAGTAAGTTTCTCCACTTTTCTTCTCGGGTATTCTCTTAGTTATTAAAAATAGTACACAATTTCTATGATTTATGAATAGACAATTTTGCTAAGGCCTCATTTAGGGTGCCCCTAGGGGGGGGGGAGGGGTCTCTGGGGCAAGTTTTTTTGACATAAGCCCATGTAAAACCATAAAGTAGGGCTGGCCTAAGAGGGTAGGGCTATGTTTGTTTGACTATGTCTGGCCCTACAGTTTGCTAAAGGCACAAAATTTCATCACAGAATGGTTTCAAACTCACAACTTTTTTCTTCAAGCTACAAAACTGGTGAATATGTTCATATATATCAACTCATAAGAATGGCAGCAAAGCAAACTGAAAGATAAGAAACAGTACAGGATTTTATGACGGAGGATCAGAGCGAGGAAACTTAAAATTTGCATATAGATGGTCGATGACTTTAACACTGGAAGGAAGGGTGCCACTGACTCTTAGAGATACCTTCTTCCCATCTAAACAGGCCATAAGAATATTTTGTGATTAATTTCCCTACAATCTTTTTTTTCAGGCTACAGTCTCTTGAGGGTGGGTTTACTGTGATCGGGGACTCCCAGCCCAACAACACAGAAAACCTCAGTCACAGACTTAAGGTATGATAACCATTGAAAGTAAGTTACCATAGAATCTAGATCACTCTTGCAAGCCACAAATATTGTATCACACACTTTATTAAAATCCAGCTAGTGGTCTATTATCAATGCTGCGTTCTGTTTGGTTGAGCTACTACTAGGCTATTTGTTATAGCCTACTAGTAGTGAAAAGTGCGCGCTTTTGGCGGCAAAAAAGGAGTAAAGTCTAGCTTTAACTAGCTAAATTTTTGTTACTCTCTATATTTTTGACCAACTAGTTGGATTTTACTAAAACAATTATTCCTCTCGCCCTCATGGCCTCATTATCATAATCCGTTTATAGAGTAGTGACACAGTGGTATGATGCATTTTCAAAATCCATATCTCCATCCATATATACCTCAATCTATTTGAACACAGAGCCCACTTAATGAAAAAATTATGAGACATTTATCCAGGTAAAAAATCTTTGCACAATGGCAATGACTACAATATTATTACACAGGAAGCCCATGATAGGGAAATATGCAGGGAATTCCAGAGTAGCAGCCCTGTCTATCAAAACCT